GTGGAGGGGGGTGAAAAAGACGGAGCGCAAGGAGAGACGTGAGACCGAAGGCCGGGGGTGATTTTTAAAGAGCGAAAGATTGCGCCGGCGACGACGAATGCGCGTTGAGGAACTTTTACTCGGGTCATTTATCACCGGCTCAGGGCTTGATTGATTTGAATTTGTCTCCATTTGCCGCTCCGGCACCGCATCGCGTCCAGTAGCGCGGCGTGCTTTGCGATATATCGATGGATTTGCAATTTAAACCTATGGGGAAGGATCGATTTACAGGGTGTCCCTTAATAATCGATTCTTTACTATAGCCTCGAATGAGGAAATATCGAGAATCGATCATTCGCCACTGATCGCGTCGCCCTTCAGGCTTCAACGTCCAACCTTCGGGGAATGTGTTACATGTTACACGTTACATGCTCGCCGAGTCAGGCATCAGCCCCCGCCGATATTTCATTTATCGATCAAGAACCCCCAGTCACACATAAAATATGCTTTTAATTTAACTTCCATAAATTCTCAGCAGAGACGTTGGTTGGCCTTTGATGCGCCCATCGGTCGCGGAACTGGGTCGCACGCAGTATCCTCAACTACCCCTCCTGTCCCTCTACGGGCAGTTTGATGACCTTGTTTCAGGGTGGCATGAAAGGAAAGCGCGGAAGAAAATGGATTGCTGATTTAACAATTAAATTGTTAGAAAATATGTCCGACACTTTTCAAATGTACATTTTACGATACACTGGAAAAAAACACATTGGATCTAGAGTCCAGACTCTTAAAAACTTAATGTATTATTATAGCTTTATTTAATTTATCACTTTACATATATTCTTCTTTTAATAACTTTGTACCATCTTTACTTATGTTTTTATACTCTTTTCATGATTAGACTGTACGTATAGGCCTTCGTGCCAATTTCTGTTAAAATTTGTTACGATTTGTATATTCACTAATAAATTATTATATATATATAAAAAAGACTCTTGAAAAACATCGACAAGAAAAAGTACTCTTGATTCAATCAGAATCTAGCTTAAATCAAGAACCAAGCCTCTAAATTTAAACGGATTTCGTTTTGATTCAAGCAAAAATCCGATTGAATTAAGAATATTTTTTCTTGTCAATGTTTTCAAGAGTCTGAACTCTAGATCCAATGTGTTTTTTTTTCCCAGTGTAGTGGAAAGCTAATTTAATCACGGGGGTGGTTAAAACTTGGAAATTGATATACGTCCTCACGCCAGAGGAGCGACGAATTATTCACTCTTTCCTCTGCAATGAAAATTTGACCAGAATTATTATAGAGTATGGAACATCCTGTAATCATCCTTGTTAATAGACTAGCGACCACGGTTTCTAGAGCTTTTTATGGTGTCAAGTCATGGCAACCTCGTTAATGAATGCAGCACCTGCAGTCTTGCATTATTTTTCTTTCTCCTTTTCGAGTTTGTTCCACAGTCACTATCCCTGTCTCTCTATCATAACTTTACTGACTTGATCTTCGATTTATTTTCGGCATTGAGGTCTCTTGGAACTATGACCATCAGTAGCGTGGCGTGCTTTTTGATCTATCGATATTTCCCCATTTGAAGCTGTCGTAAATAATCGATTATTAAGGTGTTCGCTGCGAACACCCTGTTTACCGATACTTATCCATAGGTTTAAATGGCAGATCGATCGATGTATCGCAAAACACGTCACGGCACTAGGGACCATCGAATCGCGTCCTCGTGATTCGACGGAATACTCCAGAACAATATTCGGAGGAAATTATTCTATCTGCTGGCGTGGGGGGCAGAACGCCCTCACCCGCCTGCAAAACGTTTTTGACTCCTCCAAGATTCTATATTTGTTGTTGAACTGTAGCTAAAGTTAGCCTTTCTGTCGGGAGAATGACTGGGTATAGTTAGAAATTGTCTGCTAAATCTAAAGAGGGATTGGATGTAATTGTGGACTTACTTTATATTTCTATCAAAAGGGAATGCTCCTGGCTGCTACGCAGGCGTGCTGCCATGCCTGCGCGACATGCGCGTTGGCGCCTATAACGCTAACAGGGATACTTCACGCATTGCGCAATGCGTGAAGTATCCCCGTTCCCTATGCGCGTGTCGCGCTGGTCCACCTCGCCCGGCGCGCCGCGCCGGCCGCCTACGCGACTAAACCTTCGGAGAATGATTTGCGCCTTTGAAAAGTCGCCTCCTGGATCATATTTTAAATATTTAAAGACAAGGTACTCGATAAAAGATTAGCCGCAACCGGTAAAAATAAATAATCTTGGAAATTGGACTATTATATTCACTGAAACTATGACAAAATATGAAAATTTACTTTGTGTTGTTTTGCTTATCAATCATACATTAAAATACGAGTACCCACGAGGGTAATCCCAAAAGTCTTGCGTGTTTTACTTTCATTTCAAAATTATTAATACCAGAGTTAATCCGATAAGGTGTGCACATGAGGCATATTTTCAGCTTTAATATAAGCCCAAGTTTTTAAAAATCGAATGAACGCTCATGAGATAATTTCTTCCGCACCGAACGCGTTCGGTGCGGGAGAGATGACCTTCTAAGCGTCTCGTTTATCCGATTTTAAACAAACCTGCGGGGCGATTTTTGAAATAACATCGACTCGACAATGCGGCGACATACAGTCGATATCATTTCAATAATCGCCCCGCTGGGCTTAAATTAAAGCTCAGAGAATGCCCCATGTGCACGTCTAATCAGATTTTCCCAATCTTTAATAATTTTGAAATGAGTGCAGACCGCGAAGACTTTCGGGATGACCCTCGTATTATATTCGATCTAAACATTTCTCCAAGAATTTTCGATAAAGGCATGACAACTCTGTCTTGCTAAGGAAGAACGCCTCATGAACGCCGAGAAAAATATTCATGACTTTTCTCAAAAATGAACATTTTATCAAAGGAAATTTGACAACTCTCGAATGTTCATACTGCGTTATTCCTCAGCACGGCAGTATTAGAGCCGAACACAGTGTGGCCAGCGCGGAACGCGTATTGGCGCCTACGAGACTGCGGTGATGCTGCACGCATTGCGCGTATAGCACTGTGCGTACGAGCAATGCGTGAAGTATCACTGCAGTCGCACAGTGCTGTACGCGCAATGCGTGCAGCATCACTGCAGTCGTGTAGGCGCCAGTCGAGAGTGCCAGTCGTGCAGTCGAGAGTTGCCAACATTTTTGAGAAAAGTCATGAATATTTTTCCTTGAAATTTTCAGACACTTCAGATCAAATTACAACTAGATTATCTGAGAAATTAGAGGAAAAATATTTACACATTTTCCTGAAATTTAGTGATTTGCCGAGAGAAATTTAGCAACGCCCGAAGACGTTTTTCCTTAGTACGGCAGAACTGATGTTTTTAAGGCACACCTAACTTCGCTCCTCTTGCGTATCCCTGCTCAGCGAGGAACGCACAATCCACCCTCTCTCCCGCGGCTGAAGACAACATGCCAAACTTGAACTCTTCGAGCGCGGAACCCACCAGCGGCACAATTGAGATAGTATATGAACATCCGCTTGAAACGCTCATCGTAGCTTTGCGAGATCTCCGGCCAAGCGTCGACGAAACGCTCGCACCACGCCATCATGGTCTTGTCGAAATCGGCGCCGATGTTGTGCAGATCCTCCACGACGAAGAAGGGCTCGCTGGCCTCGGCAAGCTGCTTGAGGGACGGAAAGCACCCGTTGGGGAAGAGATACTTGTCGAACCAGTCGTCATGTTTCTCGACGGTTCTGTTCGACGAGATCACGTGCAGGACGAAGATCCCGTCAGGGCCGAGGCAGCGGTCGACCACGTCGAAAAAGTTCGCGTAGTTCTTCGGGCCCACGTGCTCGATCATCTCGACGGAGACGACACGGTCGAACTGTCCCTCCAGATCCCGGTAGTCCCTCAGGAGGATGGTCACGTCGAGGCCCTTGCAGTGCTCCCGGGCGAACCTCGCCTGCTCCTTGGAGAGGGTGATCCCTGTCACGCTGACGTCATAGTTCCGAGCCATGTACGCGGCCAACCCCCCGAAACCGCAACCAATGTCCAGGACGCGCATCCCTGGCTCCAGGTGAAGCTTCTCGCAGATCAGGCGAACTTTATTCTCCTCCGATTCCTCGAAAGTCGTCGCGTTCCGCCAATAGCCGCACGAGTACTGCATGTGCGGACCTAGCATCCGAACGAAGAGATCGTTCCCGAGATTGTAGTGCAATTCGTTCACTTTCCACGCCAGGGATTTTGTTTGGAGATTGAACAACTTAACAGACAAAACGTTGATAATGTCGTTCATCCTGATAGGTAGATGTTTGATTACCGTGTTCGCTCGGGGATTGAAAAACCGATCGTAGATCATTTTGATGACGTCGTGTATGCTGTGTGGTTGAAATTCATCCAAGCGAGCCTTTAAGACTCTATAACAGAAGCCATCGAGTTGCTCGCATTCCCACCAGCCGTCCATGTAACTCTCGCCGAATCCCAAGGAACCATCTCTAATGCATCGCTCATAACAATCAGGGTGGAGTATTTTGGGGTCCCACGGACGCGCCCCGTTGAGTTGAATGTCAGCCTGCTTGGAAAGAACATCTTGAAAGATTGAGAGAGAAGAGGAATCGAGCATCTCTGCGTCTCTTTAGAGATGGTGTGCTCGGAATACCGTCTGAAACAATACAAATTCGAATAAAATTGTAACGGATGTTTCAGTTGGGAATGTCGAAATAGAATGTGTTGTCAGTTGAATAACATAGATTATAAGAAAATGATAACATAAGTTCGAATGCTGCGATTTTACCGTCCGGAACGAATGGAGTTATTGTAATCGGAAAAAAATTAAAATCATTAATGTCGTTCCCACAGGTATGCTCATTATGGATTCTTCTGCACTAGTGTGATAAGCATAAATGCTGAACCGAAGAAGATCATTTCATTCGCCATTGGAACTGGGCCCAGGATGAAGTCTTCCCATCTTTTCGTATATTTAAGGGCAGGGTCTGGGACGCCCAAACGTGGTCAAATTTTTTATCTGGTCCCCTCGGGGAGGGGGCGAGGGTAATTTAAAAAAAACAATTTTTTGCCCATAACTTTTGAACGGCTCAAGGTATCGAGCTTAACCTTTTTTAAATTAATGTTGGTCAATAGATCTGTATTTTACCATATAATTTATAGTATTTTGGTCAATTTTTGACAGATTTATGACCTATCAAAAATTTTTCATGAGTAAAAAAATCAGATTTTTTAGTTTACAACTGCGAGGATTGTGTGCAGATGAACAAACAACTGGCCAAGCATATAGTCATCTCTCTGACGGTTAAAATGAGCACAAGGTAATTTTGGGGAAACGATTTGTTTCGGAGTTATGATTTTTCGAATTTGGAGTGGTGGGGTGTATAATATAAGCTGTTTCAGATAGATAAGAAATGGGGGTTTTCTGCAGGTTTGTGATAAAACTAATTTCTAAGCGTCATTCTTTTCGTCTTGATGCGGAGAATCAGATTTGGATTTTTGAGAGGAAATTCGGCGACATTCGAATGCTTGAAGGAAGTTTTTCTTCATCGCACGGCAGTCTGGACATCGTATAAGAAAATATTTTTAAAGAAGAAACGGTTTAAAATGAGAATCTGCTTGTTACCCCGACAGTTCAAAGGTATTTAGCGTGAAACGAAGCGAAGTAACGGCAAAAATAGAAAACGCCTTCAATAAATGGAATAGGCACATCGAGCTCCCGGGAGCTCGAATAGTGGTATCGCGCGCCTGACAACTTTTTTTTCAACAATAAAACAGTAATTTGAGATTCAAATCAATAGGGGGGGGGGGGGTAGTCTCCTCTTTCTTTAAAAAAAAAAAGAAAAAGAAAACTAACTACATTTTGGCGTCAAACGTTTAAAAAATATCTTTCAAGGACTACTAAAATGAAAATCAATCGAAACAAGTTGGTGTCCCTGCATGAAAATTAAACTTTGCAGAATAGTCACGCCCAAAGTGTGTGTCTTGGTTTCCCTACGCATATGACCTGAAAAGTTATGACAGATGGGCAAAAATTCATCATAAATTTGATAAAAGTTGTTTTTTCCTTTTTGAAAGTTAAAACACTTAATCCAATTATGCTCGTTACAAATGAAACTGGCTGCCCTCGAATTATAATTGCAAGAATTTATTACCTTATATAAGCACGCAATATCTTTGATCAGTAAAATCCTCCATGCCGTGCGATGCAGTTACAAAGTTTCCCATAGAGGTAGGTACACGTATGACACGATTTACGTATAAAGTCATTTTCATTTCAAGCTTTTCCCTCTAACTCTTGAGAACGATCACTAGCCAACAATAGACTCGATGCACTGAGCGGATTTCTATTGGAACAAAGTATACATTTCCGCAGCTAAGACATTTGTTATGCAAATGCATAGGCCAAGGCATAAGGCCGCTCTTACTCCAACGTGTCTCGAGAAGAATTCTGCAATAAATTAAAAGGGTCATCACAGTAGGGCAAATCGATCTTTTCGAAATCATGCATATAATAACGTAATTACTTCAATATTGGACGCATTCTGATCAAAAATAATTTCCTAATAGAGAATTTGCAGGTGTCTGAAATATGATGATTTTCGTACTTAAGTGGAAACCACTGAGTAAACTGAACACAAGGGTACCCTTGGGTCATGAATTGAACAATTATTGGAGAATATATGAATTGCATTTTGCAAAAAGGAACCGAGAACATTCCAATGTTGATAAGATTGTGCAACTTAAATTTTTTGCAAAAAAATTACAGAAATCATGAAGGAAATTTAATTCACGATGGTAATTTTCGTCTTAAATTCATACTTTATTGAGAGTATGGATAAAACTTGTTTAGATGATCAGTTTCTATTTGCTGGGTAAAAACTGATGCACAATCTTAGCGGCATGGCATCATTGCGGTTCCTTTATGCAAACTGCAGTCCATATGATAAAATGATCCACTCTGCTAAAATACATGTGTTTAAATAAGAATTGTCGCCAGATGACGTCACTAGGCGGTGCATTTTCTTACTTTTAAATCTATTTTCATACTATTTCTCATACCAGAAAAAAATTGTAAGAAATACTGTGAAATCAGCTCTTTAACCACTTTTAGGCGAGGCAATAAAAAATGTGCATGCAAATTCTCTATTGCGGTCAGAATGTGCACTTACAAGAGAAAAGTGAGAACGACATTGTCTCTTTCTCTTCTAAGAACGAATGGAGATGTTGTATGTGTGAGGAATTTGCGATTTGACTATCGATTCATACGTAAAAGTTCGCGAGAAACACAATGGTGCCACTGGTTTTCTCTGAAATCAACTCCCAAGCTCAAAAAAAGCTCTCAAGTTGAGGCCAAAATGGAGGGGATATCCCACCCTACCCTGAGAGTCCACCTCTACATCAAGACAAGCTCTCCATGCAAAGATAGGGAGCATATACATTAGCAGTGTTGCCGTGTTTTCAATTTTAGAGTCCCCAAATGAAGTGGCAGCCCTGTCAATGTATATGCTCCCTATCTTTGCATGGAGAGTTTGTCTTGATGTAGAAGTGGACTCTCCGGATAGCGTGAGATATCCCCTCCATTTTGGCCTCAACTTGAGAGCTTTTTGTGAGCTTGGGAGTTGATTTCAGAGAAAACCAGTGGCACCATCGTGTTTTTCGTGAACTTTTACGTAAGAATCAAGAGTCAAATCGCAAATTCCTCACACATGCAACATCTCTATTGTATAGCCCTTTTTAAGGCTCTATCCACACTAAACCTACAGCCTTCTTTTTTCATGGCAAGACCCTTCGGTATACAATCGTAAAACAGAACCTGCGGAAACGGCCCTAAATCATCACGTATAAATTGTTAAACACACTGCGTGGGGAAACGCGAGCGCGTTTCACGGTATTATATTTAGCATGAACAAGGGGATAATTTATTGTTTACCTTCCGGCGTTCCCCGAATTTTTCTCTACTCTCGAATGAAACTCCTCGTTTGTTGATTTTTCGGGTTCGTTCCTGTGTTCTCACTCTGCACGACGTCATTTTGTTACGTTTGAATCGATGTGGGAAAACGTCGATTCATCAGGGGGAAATGTTCGAATAAAAAACTGCGTTAGCATCTTTTCGTGGAAAAATAAATACATTAAAATTATCAACGCCCTTCCTCCTCCCTATCGAACGAAATCTGTCAAATATTTACCTGAGAGAGCGACTTTCATCCATATATCCATGTGACTGATGTACTTACTGATGAATGCACTATCCATGCGACTCTAATCTTAATACTAGTATTTTGTACACACTGGAAAAAAACACATTGGATCTAGAGTCCAGACTCTTGAAAACATTGACAAGAAAAAACTCTCTTGATTCAATCAGATTTTTGCTCAAATCAAAAGGAAATCCACTCAAATTAAGAGTAGCAAAAATCCGATTGAATCAAGAGTATTTTTTCTTTTCGATGTTTTCAAGAGTCTTGATTCTAGATCCAATGTGTTTTTTTTCCAGTGCATGCAAACACAGAGACACAAGATGCAAAAGGATGTCTGCTTGTAATTTTGCGATACATGAAGTCTATACTAACGGCAGGTACAACCCCCTCCCCCCCTTAAAAGGAGACCAGCCTCTTAGTCCAGGCGCCTGGTAAGTCTACCTGGAATTTTGGGTACACAGCGATTTTTTTGGCCTACTTTATGTTTTTTGGGTCGCTGAATCCGAATCTGAAGTTTCCGCAGGCGTATCTGGTGAGCATTTTCCGCTATTTTGAAAAAATGGCCTAAAAAGGCCTTTTTTTGCGGTTTTTTTGATATAGCGGCTACGGATGAGCAAAAGTCCCGGATTTAGCTAATGTTTTGAATAGCTGACATAATTTGGAAGAAAATGGTATATACATATGTTAGGTTTGCTTAAAAATTGAGGAAGATACAGCATCGTGAACATCGCGCCTATTCACGTTTTCGCGGCGCACCCGTCAACGCGCGATCCGGCTCGCCGCGGTCAGCCAAGTTCCGAAGCGTTCTAAAGTTCCGAAATCCGAGGTTCCTCAATTTTTGAGCAAACCTAGCATATTTATATACCATTTTCTTCCAAATTTTGTCAGCTATTCAAAACATTAGCTAAATCCGGGACTTTTCCTCATCCGTAGCCGCTATATCAAAAAAACCGCAAAAAAAGGCCTTTTTAGGCCATTTTTTCAAAATAGCGGAAAATGCTCACCAGATACGCCTGCGGAAACTTCAGATTCGGATTCAGCGACCCAAAAAACATAAAGTAAGCCAAAAAAATCGCTGTGTACCCAAAATTCCAGGTAGCCTCATTTTTAGCTACCAGGCGCCTGGACTATCTAGAATGCACCAATCAAAAATGCTCCCCCAATAGCCCTCAGATGGGTATGCAGACAGTACGTCTACAGAAAAAATGGCTACAAAAAAAGGGCTACCTTTTTTAGTCTACAGTCAAAACGTCTACATTAAAATGCCTACTTAAATTATGTCTACAGTCAAATATGTCTACGCTATTAAAATGTCTGCGGTTTGTCTGCCCATACTTAGAAAATGTCAAAATATTTATGTTGGCCACTAAAAATATATAAAATATTTTTATAAAATTAAAAATTAAATAAAATATTTATAAAATATACATGTTGATATTTATATGGTGAATTATTTGCGAAGTGTGACTCACAATTTTTACGCATCAGTTTCTGCAGCATCCACAGTCTCACCCTGTCTTTGGGGATACACTTTCAAATGAGATCCTTATCAGACGACATAAATACGTACTTTGACGTTTTTGGAGTAGGCAATAAAACCGAAGACATGTTAATACCGCAGACGTATTTTACTATAGACACTATTTTAATAGGCATTTTCATGTAGACATTTTGACTGTAGACCAAAGAAGGTAGCCCTTTTTTTTGTAGCCCTTTTTCTTCTAGACCTACTGTCCGTAAACCCTCAGATGAATACAGTTCCAACAATAAGAAAAGTATTCCTATTAAATATGGAGATATAAGAATTCTCGACGAGTCAGCCAGAATTATTTTTAACACAACAGCCTCTTTAAAATATCAGCACCGTGTGGAATAAGCAAATTCTCTACTTTATCAACGTGATATTCCAGTCGCGACATATTGGTTAAAAATTCCTTTTTCCGGCGGGAAACTTTGCTCCGTAAAGGTGAAAATAAGTGAGATCACATGTGTGTACATTTTCCTGTATACTTACCATAATATCACGCTTTTGAATTTGAATTGCATGAGGAATCGACCAAGGCGGTGGGCTTGCACCCTTTTGAATTTCCAAGCGGTCCTCGGTGACTTGAATAATCACACCGTCAAACCTAATCAGCGCCTTTTTGGAGACATTCGGAGCCGAGAATTCCTTCATTATCTGGGTTGGAATCAAGTCGTGCGTAAAATGGAGAAACTGAGCTTTGATACGGGATGCGCGAAACTTATTCCCCTGCAAGAGGAGGGAATTTAAATAAATATACATGTGCGACGCACACGGAGAAAAAAACCTCCTGAGTGGGACCTGAAGTTTAGGTCATATGGATATCTGAAGCTTTCAGATTGAGCATCTGAACACTTAAGGTCTAGCTGCCGAAGTTCAGGTCTGACATCTGAAACTTCAGTTCTTACATCTGAAGTCCTTCGGTTTTCACATCCGAAAAACTTCGGTTCTCATAGAACTGAAGAACTGAAGTTTCAGATGTCAGACCTGAACTTCGGCAGCTAGACCTTAAGTGTTCAGATGCTCAATCCGAAAACTTCAGAGATCCATACGACCTAAAATTCGGGTCCCACGCACGAAGTTTTTTTCTCCGTGCTCAATGGATCGAGTGAATGGGAGAGGTCGGACAGTATTTGGAAACTTTAAAAGCTCACAACTCCGTTTATACTAAACTTTGAGGTTCTAAAAGTTGTTCCATTGGTTTTCTCGTGAAATTTTCCTCTAGTAACACCTTTCAAAGTTTAAACTGGGACGAAATAAATATCAAAATTTGCAGTTTTAGTGAAAAATGTCATGTCCGACCTCTCTAATTGACTCGATCCACTGTGCGACGCATGAGCCCCTTGGCGCTTGACGTCAGCACTGCCGTGATGGCGGAGAGAGCAGTAAGTGCATATCTGTATGAGCCACGATTAGCACACGCTTTTATGTGCTCCAGGGTTCATCCCAGCATGCACTCACTGCTCTCTTCGCTATCACGGCAGACTACAAGGGAGTGCGATCCGCCACAGTAGAAGGAGCAGGCATTTCCTGATAAATGCTCCCTAGATGTCACATCCAATTATGCGCATACTAAACTGCCGTGATAGCGAAGAGAGCCGTAAGTGCAAAATTTTCAAAATCGAGTTTTCTTCAAAATTCGTCTAAACTCTTTTAA